AGCGGCGGCAGCCCTTAAATATTAGATGATATGCTAGGATATCATAGGGTGTGCTTCTGCTGCCATGCTCGCAGCTTGGCATCTCGCCACATTTATGAGTACCTTGAATCATCCTGGCTTTTCAGTTTGAGCGAGCAGCGTGCAATGTGGAAATCCGAGGAACATCTGAAAGTTGTACATGTGGATGTGGATCTGAAACGCTGACTCGATGTTCCCAAGAACATTCGATGCACAAAACGCACCGCAGTCTGCAACAGATCCGGAACTGTTGTGGGACGGAAACTTGCAGCCGTTGGGGGGATTGCATAAACTTGTCACCTGACCTGGAGTGAAGGGGCCGGGATGAGGTCACTTCGACACCCGAAGCTGCACATGCGGCTGTGGATCCGAACCAGGTGACTCGATGTTCCCAAGAACTTTCGATGCACGAAAAGCATCACGGTCTGGAACAGATCCGGAACTGAAGTGGGCCAGAAACTTGCGGGAGACTGGGTGTAATTCGATGTTATTGAAGGAGGATCAGCGAAAGGGCGTGGAAGAGGTCTCGCATGCTGGTCTCAGACTCCGCTGGATCCCGGATCGCTTCAGGCCCTCCTTCCGGACCAGGAACATTGACTCGCAGCTGTCTCTGCAAGCTTGGTGAAACTCTGAGTCTACGCTGCTAGACATCATTGGTTCTTCATTCCGTCGCCTCACAGGGTCACAAAGGCATGCCAAGGGCTACACTGCTATGCAATGACTATGCAGATTCGGTCCCTGAAAGGCACACGCAACACGCTGCGAAGGTGCTTCCAGGCCTTCTCCTGATCGTCCCTTAGAAGAGCAACAGAAGCAGCGCGGGCATCTTGGAGGCATGGGTTGGGGTCCGCCAGGCAGGCAAACCTGGAAGGTTGCTGACTTTGAAGGAAAACGATCTACGGGGAACTTCCTGGAAGGCTGCTGACTTCCAAAGTCGACCTACGACCTCTTGGGGTGGCCTTCCGGGCTTCTGGCCTTCTAGGCCCCGCGCATTTGCAGATCCAGCTGCGGTCGTCGCAGCCGCCTGCCTCGATGTGCTCGCTGCGCCGCCAGCAGCGCCTGGCCGCGGCACAATAGGAGCACTGCGTGGAAAGGCGCTTTGCAAAGCAATTCGGTTGACACCCAAACGCCTCTTGGCCGTTGGCCTGGATCTTGTTACTTTCCAGATACAGAATTCGCAGCGCGGTCATGGTGGGCACGGCCTCCGCCAACGCCTGCAAAGACGCGGTCTGAGCAAGCGTGTGAGAGCCGGCCATCCTGAGCCCGGCACCTGGGCCCCGACATCCCCGATCTGGTTTCTCCTGAGCAGAAGCTCTTCCAGCGCACCGTGGCCTTTGCAGTGCTCGGCCAGGGCCTGGCGGAAGCCGGGCAACGGTCCAGCCTCTGACTTTCCGTGCAGCAGAAAACCCAACCGCGCCTTGGCCCCTTCGTCCGTGAGCTTCGAACCATTCAAATACAATTCTCTGAGCGCCCGCATGGTGGAGAGTTCCAAGGCCTGACGCCGACGGCTCGCATCCCTCTCGCAACCGGGAGCCTTCAAGAAAACGGTCCCTCGGCGACCCGGGGCGCCTTCGCGAAGGCGTCCCCGCACGGAATCGCACCAAGTAAAAGCAAAGACAGTGTTCGGTGACCTCGGAGGCCTTCGGCAAGCGCCTGGCACCGCGAGACTGCACATGTCCCATGTCCCGCAAACGGGAGGACAAGTTAAGCGACAGATCGCAAGCTGCTTTTGAAAGCTGCACGTCCCCTGCACACCACCTCCGAAGCTGGTCTCACTGCCGCGGGCCTTGGCACCGCCGGGCTCCAGCGGATTGCAGCCTAGAATGAGCTCCTTCAATGATGCCAGGCGCTTCACGGAGACGGCCAGCACCTGGCACAGGGCTGAGGACGGGCAGCAGAGGGGTTGGGGGACGTGCTCACGTGGCCTGGTGCTGACATGTCATGACGATTTCACTTCAGATTTGCAACGAACCACGACGGACACGCTTCCAATATACAATGAACAAGATTTGCTGTCCGAAGGGGCCTGGGATCAACGCCACTCAGTTTAGTTTGCAGATGCGTCCTGCTTTACCAGAGGTATGGTGCATTTGTCATGCCCCAAAACACGCGGCTCCACCTCTCTCCCACAGGATGTGCAGAGGTGGTGGCCGCTGCAAGAGTTCTTTACGAAAGTGGCATGCACTTAACACGGTAGCCCGGACAAAGACTCCACGAAAACAACCCATCAGACGGCGTCAAGCCTCGGCTTCCCACATCCGGCCTATTAACGACATGAAACTTCTCACGGCTGCACGGGCATCTGCTTCAATATGACGGAAGACACGGATTGCACGTAACTGGCCCGGTGCGAACTTCATGATGAACTCGCTTTCAGCATCGTTCTTTCTGGCACTGAGCGGACTGCGAGGATGTTCGGGAAAGTTCCGACTTCCACATTCCGTGACATCTTCTCGGGCTCCATAGAACCAACAGGCTCAACTCTAAGGGATTTGGGCAGTCATGGATTGAACACGGCAATGTAAACCCGCACAGAAAGCCCCGACCGATGACACCTCGATGTTTGCGACTTCGTTGCCCGAGAAATCCAGGCGCTCCAGTGGCGTGTCGGTGACGGCCTTCACGACCGCCTGGCGTTTCAACAGGCAGCTGGGACAAACATCCTCCAAATACGATGCAACTCCAGGGACCGCCACGAACCTGGCCCCCCTCCCTTGCGCCGGGCCTCCGCGCTCTCGCTGGTGAGGCCAATGCGGTAGAGAATTAGGACGCGGAGGTCGGTGCAGAGCCCAAGGAGCCCGGCCAGCTCCTGCAGAAACTCTTTGAATCAGCACTGTCCTCAAAGCAGTCACCCCTTCTGATTCTGGGCCTGCCGCTTGATTTCATTCTCTTGGAGACGGACCTGGGCTTTGGGGACTGCCTCACCTGAAGCCTCAAAGCTCATGGGGAGACCCAACTTCACAGAACAGCCAGGAAATGAGCCCCCGTGGGCCGGAATCCCGGAACCCCCAAACCCAAGAACTTCAAACCCGGAGTCCTGGACCCAAGCTTGAAAGTCCCTAAGCCCCAGAGCCCTGCGACCCTAAACCTGGAGCCCCCAAAGGCCTGCACACAAAACACGCCCACACGTCCAAAATGCAGAGGCGCCGTACTCAGCCAGGTGATCTGCTGCATGAAAAGCCGAAGCTGCTCCTACGGACATTGGAGTGGCACCAGCCGAAGGCAAGCAGGGCAAGGCAACTAGGCAACGTCAGCACAAAAGCCACCGGTTGTTCTGTCATAGTCAAGCTGCTACAAGACTTGAACTCCGATTCAATGTGAAATTTGCAATCACTTGAAGACTTATTTGGACTTTGTAATTGAACTTCCCGTTAGGTTCACTGCGGAAAGTCTGGCTCTGATGGTTCCAATCCATCCGAATACGGCGGAATTCATTGAAATCATTTGAAATCCTTGCTGAAACCCGATTATGCGAAGCCTCCGGAAAATTGAACGCAACTGCTTCGAGAGTGGCTGGCGTCGCCAGTCTGCGCTTTCTCTACGTGGCTGGCTTGGACGGCAAGTTTGGTTCACACCGCACTCCGAACACACTTCAATTTGAAGCATACCAAGCGGGCTGTTCCGAAGTCGGCTCATGGAAAAAGAGGATTTATGTTCGCACGTGAGAATTTTGTCGTGCCTGGGCCCCTTTAGCAGAGATGTCTGCGCAATGTATTCCTCTGGAGAAATCCAAAGCGCAAAGCATACAAGGCAGGAGCGACCAGCAGATGACAAAGATGACAAATGTGGGGAAAGGCAAAGCAGAAAGACGGCCGTAGAAAAAAAACAGAAAGCAAGACAAAGAGGACTCTGAAACACAAACGACCAAACAAGTTAAGCTGCAGAAAGGAATGAAGAAAGACCTTACCGAACATGGACAAGACCGGCCAAAGCTGACAGGAGACACACAGAAAATCTCGCACGAGCCATGAAACAATCAGCCTGGCCTCGCTCACTGAGACATCGTCCAATTCCAGCTCGTTGGTGCTCAGAGCCTCGATGAAGGGCTGCAGCTCGTCTTCACCACCTTCGGGGCGAACAAGCTCGGAAAGAGGAACGCATGTGCAAAATGCGGCACCCTGGCCTCTCATGCTGTCAAGCTCTGGGAACATCTTGTAGAAGATGCTCAAAAAATCGCTCTTCTGGCTGACGAGCTTGAAGAAGGCGTAATCATGGTGGAAATCCGCCTGCCAGGAGCGCATGCCCCGTACTCACCGAGGTGACACTGTGCAGCTCCCCGGCCTTTTATCTCCCGGCCCTGCCCCCCTATGAGCAAATGTGCAAACACCGGCCTTGCCTCAAGCAACAGCCGCCGCATCAGGAGTAGGTTGTTGTCCGCTGCAGCGGCATCCAGCTGTGCGGCATACCAGGGTGCTACCAGCGGCCGCAGAATGGGGCATAGTAGGAATGAAGCGAGGACTTGCATTAGCGGAATCGCGAGGTTGAGCACAGCCACCAGCAGGCTGCCGCCTTCCAGAGCCAAATACACCATGGCCATCAAGGCTTGAGGGCCATTCTCTATGACCAACAGCCAGCGCTTTGTAGGCGTGACTTGCCCATACGCCATGGGCAGCAGCTTGTTCTTCAACTTCTGGAGATAAGCGGCGCAGGTGGAGGACCTCTGGGCTTCTTGCCCCCCCTCGGTTTGGGTGGAGGCTCCGCTGTCCGCCTTTTTTGCCTTAGTTGGCGCCAGGAATATCCCCAAGTAGTTCTTGCCAAGTTCGGCCAGGAACCTGGCCCGACGCAGCAGGACCAGGTGGAAACCCAGGAGGTAAACCCATGACAGCACGCCTAGTGCTAGTGTCAATCCCTTTTTTGACTGCAGGCAGAGTCCTCCGAAGAGGCTGTCTTTCAGTGTGTCGAAACTATCCGACATAAACGGTAGCATGCCGGTGACCGTGCCTTCGGCAAATGCGGTCATGTCATACTGCCGCCCCTCGCACAGCTGCCATGCTGCCACGCACGCTTGTGCAAGCTGCCACAGGCAGGCCAGACTGCACAGCGCTGCATACCCTTCCCAACTGAGCCCCGTCTGTGGAGAGAGGTGGCCGTAGGCCATGCTCAGAGCAGTGGTGGCCATGCAAGTAGCACAGGTGCCCAGAAAGGCCGCTTGCACCGCCCGCTTCTGGTTGAGTTTGTTGCCATATGATTTGGCACTTTCTTCAGCACCAGTGTTGGGTGATACGTTGATGTCTATGCCAGCTGTGTCGATGCCGTTTCATGCTGCGGCTGCCCGTGCAACGTGGCCGGGACGTCCCGGCTCCTAAGGAGGGCCTCTGGGCGCTTCTTCTTCCTGCGGACGGCCTGGCAGGCCCGGGGCCCACACCTCAGGATCACCGTGCCTAGGGCCAACGTGCCCACGTATGTCGCAAACATCGTGAGGATCCAGAAGGCTGTGCGTTCGTCCACCAGCTCCAGGACGGCCCCGGCCACGCTGTCCGTGCCGTTGGTGCCGTTTGGCAGCAAGGCATCCTCCATGGCAGCGACGAGGCAAACGCCTAAGGTCACCTACGTCCCGCATGCACCGACCTAGCTTCATCTGCCACTACTGGGACTACTGCTTTTCTTCTGGTGTCACTGCAGAACACCGCGCATGGCGGCGTGTTGTATGTACATTTGTGTATGTGTGTATGTATGTATGTATGTATGTATGTATGTATGTATGCATGCATGCACATAATGTACAGGGCGCGGTAGGACCCTCCACGTCTATAGCGTTGGAAGGCCAAATCGATAGTAATTCGCTATCCTGTTCTGCGCCCGTCGCCACTCTCTATCGTGACCCTCGACCTACTCAGCATGTGCCTGGCACGTCTTGAGCTCCTGTGTGCTCCAGCCACAGGCAAGTTGCAAGCTTGCATGCTTGCAGAGGCAACACACAAAGAAGGTCAACGGCTGGAGCTCAGACGGGCACCGGTCAGCTCGTGGGCTCTGAAGCAGGCTCCACCTTGGCAGCATATCATTCAGGGAGAGTTTGTTCTCACACGCGTGGTGAGGCAGGAGAGAGGAGAGGATTCTTCGCAGAAGGCTCGTGGCCCCGTCTTAGATTTCCTGCATCACGACGGGTTGAAAGGCGTGCACGCGAAGCAAAGCTCGCCTGCCTGGGCTTCCTGGATTGCCACGACAACCCTGTATGAAAACGCCAGAAGCTTCCGGCCAGATAAGCAAAGACAATGCTTCCAAGCGGCTCCACTGAATTGGGGAGACGCTGACTGGTTCATTACACTAGCAAACGTCACACCCAAACTGTAAGCTCCAGGCCTCTGTTGAGCCCCGTCCCTCCCTTTAAAACCCGCTGAGATTCCTCACTTGGAGAGACGACCACCTTGCCTCAGGGGTCGCCGCACGAAAAAGGCTGGGAGCAAATTGGGAGATGGTAGCAGGCTGTTGGACATGCTTCCCAAGCACTCCCGAGCTGCTCTCAGGCATGTATCTCAAAAGCTGCTTTCAGGCATGTATCTCAAAAGCTGTTCCCCGA